GTGAGTGATGGTGCAAATGTCACAAAAACCGAAATGCAAAAATATATATCCAGCACGCTTAAAATTGGGTGTAGAAAGCTCAATTTGGATTTCTTGCATGGAGCGTAAGATTTTCTTCACAATGATATCACAATATTGACACTTCAAAGGAGAATGAACTTTGAGTGCGTATTAACAAAATATTTGCTACAAATCACGGAAAAGCACAGCTGTGTGTATGGTACGGTTTATATCCTAGAGAAAGATATCGCAAGATAGATCTCACAGAACTGAGTCGAAGGAGCGTAAAATCGTCGATTTATGACGAGTTATGGCAGAGTAAATCCACTTAAACCGGGAGCGCACAGATTATGCGAGCGCACACAGGTGTTCAATCAGAGAATTAGCTGGCGTATTACATTAGCCCACTCGATATTTCTTCTTCTTTGTTTTCTTTTCCCTTCTTCAGACCTCGGGATCACATTAGCATTCAATCCGAACGTGTTTGTTCAGCACGGGTTTGGCGAATTGCCCGAGAACACGGGAGAGCGAGAACAGTCGTTAAAACCGAAAACCCGTCAGGACGAGAGCAATTGGTATCAACTGATTTGGCTTGGATTACACTATTTAGAACAAGAGAAACAATTGACCACAGTTGAGTCAAACAGTGTTATTTGTACCGCTGCTCCACTTCGTCCGAAAATTCTGCATCCATCGCCCGAGTACGGATCGGAAGAAGTGATTTTAAAATCAATAGGGTTTCACAAACGTCTCATTCGAACCCAACGTACACATAGTCCAATTAATGAGAATGATAATATAGAGCATACCATAAACGAGATCCTCAAGGACATAATTCCGCAGAACGTGGGGGAATCGCTTCCTGACGGGATACTGGATAACACCAGGGAGGAACCGACAGTCTCCTATGGACAACCATTCCAGCTACCTCAAAGGATAAAGGCCGCTGATAATAAGCCTCTGATTGAAGAGTTAGATACAAAAATTCAAGTCTCAGAAACAGTTGCACCCAAGAGTATGGAAGAAGCTACCATTCAATGGCATGCCGAGATAGTTGCCCATACGGATAAGAGACGCGGATCGATACGTTCAAACCAACTGAAAGTGGTTTTTGAGCTTCCAGGGGTTCGTTCTGGTGCCCAGTGCGATTTAGACATCACTGCCGTACGTACCACTATTGCTTGGATGGAATTTAAAAAAAAGATTTAGTGCAAACATAATTTATATGAATATGAATGTATTTCAATATTTACATCATTGAAGGGTACAGTCTATTCCACGCGCAGGAATTGCGCTAGGTCACATTGGACAAAGAGTATATGGAATTTTGGATATAAAAAATGGCACTTTACACCGTGGTACAAGGGAGATGATACATGAACAGAACGACGACGTGTCCATAAGAAAAACCTCACTTAATGGTCCGGAAAAATATGGTATATAATAAATAAATGTCGTTTTGCTTCCTTTTCATTTATTGAGTATGTACAGTCAACATTCAGGAAAGGGGGCCGCGGCCATACAAGGGCTGCCTGGAAAATTCAGAGTTGGGGAAGATGGGCTGCGGTGGAGCGATCCGAACCCGGGACTCACAGGTCATAAGTTGGTGACCAAACCATTCGGCTACCACCGCCGATTTGATAGTTGTCGTATGGTCTTAATGAAATTCGTTCAAAGTTTTCAAATGCAACATAATGAAATGGAACACAAGGCCACTTTGAATACATTAGACTTGGGCCTGACGTGAGAAAACGTAAAGAACTTTGCAAACATGTGCTGTTTGACAACATCACGGTGACGAAGTTAGAGGTCAGCAGTTCTGTTTTGTGCAGTACATGCACAGAATCTAAAGTAAAGTAGAACAAATGACAATTTCCCTACGTGGTGTCTGCACTTCACATTCCAACTCATTTCACTGCATGAATTTCTGCTAGCGATGATTACGAAGCCATAAGCAATACCTGAAAACCGACTTTTACAGTCCCTTAAATGTTGTTGACAGACTGAAGTTTTATGTTGGGATTGTAAAACGTTCAGTAGCCTCGGTGGGATTCGTACCCACGCATGGACGGTGCCCATGCTTTTGTACAGCGCAAATTCTACCAACTGAGCTACAATACCACACCGATAGTACTGATCTTTTAAAATTCGAATCCCGCCGCGGCTACTGAACATTTCACAATCCCAGCATAAAACTTCAGTTTGTCAAACAACCATTTGCACAGTCCCATAAATATTGAATTAATTTTCTCTTGTTCGCCGAGCTCACCCAAGATGACTATTTTATTTTCCCTGCTTTTTTACCTATATTTTTTCGTTCACCCATGGTTATTTTGGCACCGAATCTGTCAAGATTAGTGTTATATATATGTTCGCCGAGCTTGATAATTCATTCGCAAACGTCAGATCCCTGGCAGAGTTGACATCTTCAATGTGTGTTGAGTTTTGCTGTTCTGCCCCTGCCCGTTCACTCATATGTGTTCCTACTTGATCGACATTTGTTAGCCTTTGTTTCTGTAGTTCTCAACTTGATTCGTCATTTAACTAGCACGGAAACCACTGTTCAATATTATATTACATTCGAGACATATCAAGCACCATCTGCATTGTGTTACACGTGCGTTTAGTG